GTACATCTACAACTGTTTAGCCTTTGGAAGCAACAGATAATGAACCTTAGACACGCAAGCTATCACATAATTTTGTAAATGATGTTATTTTCACAAGTGGACCAAAACATGTCATTTCTCAGCATGAGAGCTTATTCTAAAACACTGCCATAAAAGGCAGTGGACTATATGAATTCATTTAAGAATTTTTATGCCTTGAATTTATATTCATATTAACCCAATAAAAAAAAAATACTTCAGTTTTTCTTTATGTCTCAAGCAGTTAAACCGCTTTGATAAAACAAAATGACGATGCCTTTAGAATGGAACTAGGTGTAGCTGCAATGATGGCTGGGTCCTCTCTCAGCTGACAGAGGAGCATTTATTCAGTGATAAATGTGGAAGTTAGACTCCTTTAGGGGACACCTAGGAACTGCTTGGCAGCTAACTTAGATAATCTGAATGCACTGAGGGAGCTTGTTGTAGCTTCTCACAGGAAGAAAGTAAGAATGAGTTGGGGGTGGTCGGTTCACCACCTCCACCTGTCTGTCTCGGACAGATTGGAGCATTTCCCATAGTAAAACACTGAACAAAGTTAGTCTGTTAGGCTTCAGTTTTTGAAATCTTAAAGATCTGTGAAAGCGTGACTGGAGTTTAGGCTGTTTATAAAGCATTATAATGACCAACTCATTCAGAAATCACAGCTTATCATGTTTGAACCACGGCACAAAACACTTAGTCATTACCCTGCAATGTGACTATTTTTATATCAAAAGGCAAAGAAAGTGGTGGTAAAATCAAAGAGCTCTAGCAAGTACTGTAGCCAGCCTTGCCAAGAGATGGGAGGGGGATGCAAAATTGAAAAGACATTATGGAGCAGGGATAATAAAAAAGATTAACACTGGTTATATATTTAGCCTACAGGAAGAAGAAAAAATGTATWTTTAAAATAAACCACTAATGAAAAGGCAACAGAAGGTCATGGACTGCACTGCATCACTCGTTGCCATGGGTTATTTATTTGTGAATCAATGAAAATATTTTCTCTTTAGAGACTCGCATGAAGGTTGACACATTAGCTTGAAAACTGCTTCAAAAGCTCCTTTTATCACCTCATGTCAAGATGGCCTCCAAATCTCACATCACCTAAAGGGAAAGTTACTTTGAAGTGATGTTCTGCATTATAGTTACCAATAGTTTGTACTGCATRAGCTGTGARATCAGTCACAGAGCACAAAGTATGGAGAAAAAGCCAAAACACTTGTGATGAGCACCAGTTTCTTAGTGTTTGAAAAAGTAGTTTTATAAGCCTATCTACTAGTGTGAGAGAATACTACAGTAACTCTATTGGTTCAACTCTACTCCAGCAGAATGATACAGTAAGCAAGCATGGAGCAATGGYGGGGCAATAACAAACCTATGTGTGGTATTATACGGTTTTAAAAACAGATTAATTCATWAAAACAATGTATATGACTAAACAAAAACTCATGTTTCTCAGTTGAAAGACAACGTTGTAGCAAGCTAATGACAATTCCCTTCAAGCTGAACTCACATTCAACTTTGTGCTGCTGAAATCTCCAGATATTGTTCCCTTCTCTGCTCATCTTCCAAATTGTTTTAGAAATAAATAACTGCTGGCTATTTTGTTTGATGTCTCGAGCCAGTGAACAGTCAAAAAGAAACATGGTCAAGAGAAAAATAAAATCTAAATGGACGATACCCCCCCCCCACACACACACACACACTTTATGAAAAGTTCCATTTCAAGTAAAGTCCCCATTTTTTCCATGTTTTTTCTTCACCTCCTGTACTATCAATCATGACAATTCCAAACACTTTCTTCCCTTCTTGTCTTTTTTATTGCTAAAACATCAAGGTGGACAGCAATACTTATGTTCGTCTTTGTGTTTATGTCCATTACCAAAATGTCTCATGAACAACTAAATAGGTTTTAATTTAATGTTTGTAAATAATCAATGGATTTCAATCTATGACAATTGAATGTTTGGGGTTAATCTTAAAAAAACATAAAAAGGCAATAATTTAGTCATTTTTACAGATATACTGGGGTAAAATAAGTATTGAACACGTCACAATTTTTCTCAGTAAATATATTACTAGAGGTGCTAATGACATTAAATTTTCACCAGATGTCGGTAACAACCCAAGTGATCTGTCCTGATGCATCTCTTATAGCCATGTGATGTGAGTATCAGTCACATCACAAAAGCCTGAATTTTGACTGAAGAAGTCTCTTGGAGGAGAGACGAAACGTTTCATTAGAGAAGAACCCGTCCAGAAGACCTATACAATTTTTTTTCTTTTTAACCCAAGTGATCCATACATACAAAGAAATCAAACCATAAATGTCCAGAAATGAAGTTATTTGTAATAATGTGGAA